CAGGCGAAATGCCAGAAACGCGGGGAATCCGGTGAGCTCCCCCGGGCCCCATGTTAACCCGTGGGAGGGAAGCGTATTTTAATGTATTCCATCCCTTGCAAGCGGTTAGACCATGGACCACGCTTCCTGGAGAGGAGGGACCATTGTTTTTCCCACAGGACCGATCACGGATGCCCAATCGTTCCTTCTTATTTTGCCAAAAGGGGGCTCAAAAATTTTTCCCTTAGTCTGTTTATCTTATTAAAGAATACCCTTTCCCCCCATTTAAAACCATTTCTTACTCCCCAGTACAGCTCCCTTCTTTTCTTTTTTATTCCATCCCTAAAACTTCCCCCTGTACTTCCTTTGTTTTTTTCCCAGTTCATTCATGAACATTCCCTTTTCTTTTTGGTCCCAGGGACTTTCCGGGATAACAGGGACACGTTTTTCCCTTTGAAGGGCGGGGGGGGGGGGGGGGTGCTACTCTTACGTTTTGCATGACGTAGCGGTTAGACCATTGACCACGCATTCTCGAGAGGACGGAGCATTGTTCCCACAGGACCGATCATCGATGGCTAATCGTTCCTTCCTACTTTGCCAAAGGCGGCTCAAGAATGTCTTCCCTAGTCTATCTATCCTTCCGATATCACTTCCCGCCATTTCAACCCACTTCCTATGCCTCAGACAGATACCGTATTATCCTGGCTATTCCATGCCTCAAGCGGGGGGGGGTGGAGAAGCGCATGCCGAGATCATAGCAAGGCGGCAAGTGTAGTGTTTTGAGAGGTCCGTCTCGACGACAGCGGTTTGTACGGTATGGAAACCTGCCGCAGGAGCAAAGACAACAGCAGATGGCGCTTAGAACGGAATAATCACCGTGACCAACAGCAGCAGCGACCACAGCACCAACAACAACACCAACGCCACCACCAATACCAACACCAACAAAAACAACAACGCCCACCCCCAACTCCCTCTCCGTGCAAACGCACCTTGCCGCGCATAGCCAGACGAACGATATCCTTCGCCGTGGCCTTCCCGCTGTACACGAGCAGAAACTGCTTGTAGGGGACCCTCACTCTGCCCTTAGCCTCCCCCGCACCCACGGGGGGTCCGCCGCGAGTCACCAGGACCCGCGGACGCCGATTCCGCGAAACGTTCCCGGCCTCGCCGTTCTTCACGTCGTCCTCCTCCACCTAGGATTTATTCGCGTCAGAAAAACGACGGAGGAAAGGTTGTTCTTTGAGTTCAGTGGTATTTCGTGTTGAGAAAGGAAAAAAGGTTGCTGAGCTTGATGTTATTTTGTGTTGAGAAAAAACGAAAAAGGTTATCGTAGTCTGGTGTTGCTTGTGGTGTTGAGAAAGGAAGAAGGTTGTTGAGTTTGACGTTACTGAAAAAGAGCTTCGTTGTCGTAAAATCCTTTCTCGACCAAGGCTTCCAAATCTTCGCCTCCAACGAACTGGTTTTCCTTCGCGATTTTGCTAGAAACGTCGTTAATTTCTTTATTTTTGGTCATCCCATCTATCTGTCGCTGGTTTCAATTGGCTTGCGGACCCTTCGGGTCTATCTTATTGGAGTATACCTTTCTTAGGGTAAGTCAGCCTGCTGTGGCCACGGGCATCGACCGCGTCAAGAGCTAGATCAGTACGGACAGATGAAGGTACTGGGCAGAGATATCGGAACGGTATTTCGCGTTGCTTTCATCTTCCACCACGCCTTGATGACATTTACTACTTCGTACTAGACTTTGATGAGCCCACTCCGGAGGCCCGACTTGTACTAAGAAAAAAAAAAAAAAAAGCGTCACCTTTTCGACCGTCACCGACAGCTCCAGCTCAGGCTTGTCCCTCGCCACACCGTCCCAGCTGCCGTCTTCCATGTCTTCGTCGAGCACCTGATCGAACACGAACGTCATCGACCCGGAGAAGCTGGGGTCCGGCTGAAAACGCGGCGTAACCGCAACCGTTCGGGGTGGGGTGGGGGAGGGTAAGCAATTGTATGTAGCTTCCCCGGGACAAAAATGCAGTGGTCTGATCGAACACGCACGACATCGGTCCGGAGAGGCAGGGGTCCGGCTGAAAACGTGGCGCAATTGTCGTAGTACATGTACAAGAAACACATAGACCTCTCGACAGCACATGACGGTAGATACCACCCCCGGTCACCAAACAACTTGCGAACCTAGAGCAGTACTGGGCCCTGTATAGTGCCGGTCCGTAGTGCCACAGTCCGGTATAGTGCCGGTGTTTTCGGCCCGTCCACACTGAAACACCAAGTCGTTCTGTATTTTGAATAGTGCCAGTGTCCGGAAGAGGGTAAAATCTCTGGACACATATCATAAACCAGCACTATACAGGGCCCAGACTGCTGAACTGCTTGTACGTAGAAAGTAGAGTTGGCCTTGTTTCCCCGAACAAACGCAGAGGTGGTGCGGTGATGATCGATAGAGGACGTGGCGCATTCCTCGATTCTATCACAAAACTCGGGTTTATGGATAAACCTGTACTCTCAACATGTCTACCCGCAAATACAAAAATGGTACGGTACAACCGCACGGCAGTTAATCGCGATTATCAACCATGTGGGCATGTCACTCTTACGTACGTACAGTCCCTTGTTCACTGGAACATGAGGACACACGACATGTATAGAAGCACGATGTTATTGAATCGACGGGTGCACGTCACTACTGGTGGTGTGCCACAAGCTGTTAGTACGCTTGCGGAATGGTAACCTACAGCAGTACCTACGTACGAGGCTAGCCACAGCGGGATGTGCACCGTCGGTTGCATAAGATACCACACACCCCGTATGGTCCGATTTTCAAAGCCCGATTACTCGGCAGGCAAAAGCGGTGACGGTGCCGAAAATGGCGGGAGGCGTTGGAAGCGTCGTCTCCTCGAGAGAGCTTTCCGACAATGTGTCCTTTGGGTTCGGCATCCTCTTCGTCCGTGGAGAAATCAAGCTTTGAATATCGTAACCAAGGGGTGTGGTATCTTACGCAACCTAGGGTAGGCTACGAAGGACGTGAAACTATTTGAGTTTGTGTGTGGCGGAGTGTTTGTCGCAACATCGGAGGTGCTGCAGCTGCGGTAGCGAGGGAGAGAGACAGAGAGCGGTAGCTGTGTTGAGATACCCCCCCAAGCAAAACCACAGGGAATCGATGCCTTGCGAGCACAAAGGGGTTACGGGGAGGGCCAGCAGGGAGATTACATCTCTCTCTCCGCGTTCGTTTGCTCCGATAACCAGCAGCCAGCTGTTGCTGTGTGGGTGGTACGTATTAAAAGCCGTACCCACCTTGACAGAGTAGCAAAAGAACTCCATCATATCCAAAACCAGCGCGTGATCCTTTTCGTGCTCTGCCCTCGCGGCAGGGGGGACGCGCGACGCCGGCCGCAGCAGCCGCTGCCTCAGCTCCGCAAGCTCTCGCTGCTGCTCTTCGCCTGCTACTCCACCGCTGCTGCTACGGGGAGAGGTTGTTGCTGCTGGTGTTGGTGGCGCTGGTGGTGGTGCTGTTGCTGGTGCATCATCATCGTCCCTGCTTTTTGTTCTCGTCCTCTCTCCCCTGCCGCCGCGAACACCGCCGCCACCATCGCCGTGCGTGCTGCTCTGCGTTGCACCCATGCCCCAACACAGAAAGAACGAAGAGGAAGAAGAGATAGGGTATGACGCCGTGTGATGCCTTGTCTCTCCGTGCTGTTCCAATCTTATGTACCTTCTGCTCGAGCTCTTCGCGAAAATTGATGTTGAGTGCGTGTCTCTAAAAAACGCCTCTTCCCATTTTTTCGGGCCCGCTCAAACTCAGTTGTAACGTTCAATTTATTTTTGTGCGCGTGATGAAATGAGACCTGCTGCTCCACACACATCATACCTATATAGCTGTGCAGGGAAGAAAAGCTCGGCTTGCGTTAAGGCGCCTGTTTGATTGCCGGATCTCCTGTGGTGGCTGGAGGCACTGCTGCTGGTGGTGGCGTGGGTGGTGGTGCTGTGGTGACCGGCGTACAACAGGAGGTATGCTTGGGTGTGTGTGGTATCGATTTGGTTTCGGCAAACAGGAGCGAAGAAAAGCGCGGCCCTTTTTCATCGTTTGATATTTTTTGGGGCGTGTCTTTGCTGCTCTGAGGGCAAGAAGGACGACGAGCGTGTGTCTGGCGGCTCTCTGCCACAGGCGTAATCCACGCGAGCAGCAGCAGCAATGGCTATACGTTTCAAGCTCTATCTGGGCGTAGAGGCGCACAGGTACGCCGCTGGCACATGCGCAACACAACAAACATATAGACTCAGGATGCTGCGGATTTGCGGTTCATTGTGGAGTGCTGAGCGGCGGCAGCATCGAGGCATCGAGGCCCTTCCAAATGCAAAGCAAACCAGTCGCAGAGAGAGAGAATGAGCCAAAACACGCAACAGCGCGCTCCCCGCCAAACACACGGCCGCAGAAACCGCATGCATTTGGATCATCGGATAGATCAAAGGCGTAGCATCTGCGAGAGAGAACTCTCGATCATGGTGACGGGTGGTTTTGAACGAAAAATAGCGGGGGGTGAAGAGAGACGAACAAAGAGACAAGTGTTTTTTTCTCTTTGCGCATAAGAGATGGTGTGTGGGTGGGTACCGTGATTTGATAAGATATCACACCCCCTGGACCGATTTTCAAAGCTCGATTACTCCGCGGCGATGTCGAAATCAAAGGATATGTTTTCGGAAAGCTCTCGATGAGACGGTTCCGATGCCGCCATTTTTCGACGCCGTCACTGCTTTTCCTGTCGAGATATCGAGCTTCGGAAATCGGTCCAGGGGGTGTGGTATCTTACGTATGCAACCTGCGGTATCCGGCCTTCCGTGCTGCATGCATATATCCATGCTGCCCAACGAAGACTCGACATACATACTTGTCTACATGCTTAAACTGGTAGTCGGTTTGCACACCAAACGACAAATTGCAGATATACCTCATCGTACATGTAGACTAAATGTTGCTTTTAGCTATGGTACTTCGTAGCATATTAAAATAATGGTACTTCGTATGCATACTAAAAAATGCAAGCTACCAACGGCAAGAGGGGACGCGGCCTTGTTGGCCAAACAGCATTTCCTCTCCCATCTCATGGGAGATGCTACAGTAGGGCAATAAAAGTGTCCCCCACAGGTACCTTCACTCTAGAACAAAGTAAATAGTACTTCGTCGGACCAACGGGCAGCAGAGGCCCAACCCTTCAACATTGTCGATGTCCTCCCCATGAAGGAAACAACGACTGACCTCAGAGTACACTATTAAGTAGAGTTATTGTACCGTTTTCGGTGCCTGCTGCAGCAGATCGTCGTCAGAAAATTGGCTGGAATTGACAAGCATGTCCCAGACGTGAAGAAATGTTATTGGGAGAATAATGCTTCAATATTGACGATGTGGCGGAGGTATTGCATTGCTGCATTATGTACTTGTCCTCTTCGTCGTTTGCTGGCGTTCTCTCTCGAGTCTTGTCTTGTACAGTATCGCCCCCCCCCCCACTCCCCCCCTTCTCTCTCGCGGGTCCGGAAACACTACTGAAGCATTTTTTTGTCGCAAAGGGTACGTTTTCCCGCGATCACGGGAATCGACCGCGTCAAGTGGTCCATCAGTGTGGGGACAGATGAAGGAACTGACTGGGTAGAGAGATCGGATCGTTTTTTCATGTGAAAAAAACAACAACAACAACAACATAGAAAACGCCCACGGCACCACCGTCTCTCATCAGCCAGAAAGGAAAGCACCTTGCTGGGAGTCGAAGCGAGGCGATTCACCCACGCGCGTGCTGCAATGCAGCAGCTGCTACAGCGGTGCATATGTGTGCGTACTTCTGCAGAGGCGAACGTACGTGTGTTTCTTTTCGACCACCTTCGCGAGATGAATAAAGCTACGAGGAAACAGAACAGGGAGGAAGGACGCAGACCCTATTCCCTAACCCTGACCCTGGCCCAACTTCCCCGATTGTATGCTTTATCCAACATGTTTTACCTAATAAAAAGCCTCCGAAGGCTCCTGTTCATTTTAATCTAGCATCGACCCGTCAAGTGTTATACTTTAGTACGGACAGAAGAAGGCACTGGGCAGAGAGAACGGAACGATTGTAATGTGAAGACGACAACAACAACAATCGACCTTTTAAACCAGCATCATTAGCCGGCTGACCAATGAAAGTAGAAAATACGACAGTTCATTCCACGGCATGTCGTCTGCGTGCTTGCGAACCAACCGTGACTTCGACAGGGAAACGCGTTGTATGTATGTTGCGGGCACGTGCTCTACCGTATGCGACACAAGATAACACACCCCCTGGCCCGATTTTCAGAGCTCGATTTCTCAACAGCAGAGAGAGTCACAGCGCCGAAAACGGCGTCGTTAAAGCCTTCTGGTCGAGAGAGAGGTCTCCGAAATGTACCGCTTCGTTTATTCATCCTCCTGGTCGTGGAGTATTCGAGCTTTGAAATTGGGTCCTGGGGGTGTGTTATCTTGTGTCGTATACGGTAAGTGGGTGGCTTTGGATCTCTGCGGGAAGCACAAAACACCCAAACAGCCCATTTGGTGCAAGTGCAGCAGTAGACTATTGCTGACAAAAAAAAACGGATGGAATAGTAAGCCTCCAACGCATACGTATGCCATGTGTTTCAAGTTTTTCTGGGCTCTCATATGCATACACGTGTTTGGGAGATATACGACACTTGTTGTTGTTGTTGTTTTTGTTGGCTTCGCATTAAACTCGTATGTTAGTTGCTAATCCCAAAATCTAGCACAGACTCGGTCCGTGGTCACAAAAATGCTAATAAAGCCATCAGACGATCTGAAGAACACGCACACTTCTTATTTAGCAAGAAAGGGGTACACAAGCCCGAAGAATGTACACCTACAATCCCTACAGTATGCGTTTGCATGCCCAAAACTGAACTACTAGGTTCGACTACGCTGCACTAAAGAAAGTGTAGAGTACGCGATCTGCTTCATTCAGGTTGTTCGGAGATATACGACACTGCGCCAGAGTGTACAGTTCGGGGCAGGAGACGTCAACGCCGCCGCGCTCCCACCGCCCCTGCTCCCGGCCGTAGCCGTATATGACCCAAGATAACACGCCCTTGACCGATTTTCAAAGCTCGATTTCTTAACAGCAGGAAGAGTAGAGTCACAGCGCCCAAAACGGCGGGGTTGGAATCGTCTCGTCGAGAGCTCTCCGAAAATGTATGTATATCATTTCGTTTATGCATCCTCTTCGTCGTGGAGTAATCGAGCTTTGAAAATCGGTCCAGGGGGGTGTTATCTTGTGTCATTTAACGGTATTCTTAGGGTTAGTCCGCGGCGCTTGTACCCTTGCCGTCAACAGTGACACGTCCACCTCGACAACGACGCCCGTTCGTCGTTAAATG